TCTGTCACAACTTTGATTTGGTTTCAAGAGGGATGAACAAAACCTCTATCATCTATGCCATTTTTTCCCCTCAGAGAATTAGTCTATCTTGAGCCATGTGTATATCTCCCTCTGATGCTAGATTATAAAATACTCTGAGTCTGGTGAAGAGTTTTATTCATCTTCTTAACTTTACATACTTTAGAGCTACTAATACAATTCTTTACATATGGTAGCTTTTTTGGGTTGAATAAAAGTGAATAACTGATACACATACTGCTTGTTTTTTATTTCCCCTGTAAACTTCTTAGGGAAAAGATCAAATTGTTAATATACTGTATTCTCCAAAACACTTTACAAAAAGACTTGCATAAGTCACAGTTCAATGTGAATTTATATAACATAGAACTTAAGAGTGCTTATCTTGGAATAAGATAAGGATGACTTTTATTTAACTCCCAGGCACACCAATTTGGCCACTGGCTAGATGTGCAACTTTTAATTCACCAACTGAGCTCTAGTTTTCTTATTTAAAAAGAGTGATAATTGCCCTTTTATTATATGATTTACCAGAGTGTTGGATGACCTAATTGATGAAAAGTTTTCAACCAGAGCCTAAAACGTGCTAATAACTTATACATGGAAATTCCTTTCATTATTTTTCTATGCTCACTGCATTCTTAAATGTCTTCAGATAATGATCTGTATTATTTTATACACTATGCACTTCAGAGAGTCCTTGCCTTATGTGTCATTCTCAGTCCCCATTGCAATTTCTTGATTACGGTGCATCACTCCCTTATAAAACTCTTTCTTTATTTGAAGATCATAGTGTTTTGTTGTGGCACCTTCAGTTGTTCCTCATTCTTTTAAGTCATTTATTGAAATCTTAGTCCTGCTACCCCATTTCAGATGTTTGCAGTTGGCTAACAGACTAGTTGAAATAGATTCAGACTAAAAGTACTGATTTTAGCTCTTCTAATGAAAGATTATAGGCTGTCCATGAACAGAGAACAGAAAAAAGAAAAGAAAAGAAAGAAAAGCTCTCAGGTCAGACAGTGAGGGACATGTGCCCATAGACTCACTATACATAGTTCTACAATTTGTTACACTACTATAGTTATTTCACTTTTTAAAAATTAGAAAGTTTTAAATTCTCTATAATCTACTTCTTGAAGTACAAATACTTGGTAGATTCTCCACATTGGCCATCACTTTTTGTTTATTTCTTGATACATAGAATTTCACATTGATAGAGACTTTAAGTCTTCATGTCTCCTGTCCTCTTAGAATTCCCACTAAAGAATATTTGGTAAATAGACATCCAAAATTTGCTGAAATTCCTCTAATGACAAGGAAGTATCTTGTAGCGCCTGAGAGAGAAAACTCCTGCTTCTATTTAAGATTTTTTAAAAGTTTCTCTCACTTCTCTATATTTTTGTCCTGGACAAAAGTGTCCTGGAAACACTTTCTGGTGAATTAAAATTCCAGTACTAGCTTTAATAGTTTTACTCGCGTTCCATTTAAGAGCATGCAGACTTGATTGCTCTAAAATTCTTTAAGACTATTTCATCATTATAAACTGCCTCTATCTCTAGTCATGCTTCCTGCCTTCGTGCTTGCATTAATCAGATTAGTATAGCTACCTAATATTCTTTGGTTAGTATTTCCAACATATATTTTTTCCCCATTCTTTGGTTTTCAGTCATTCTGGGTGTTTATATTTAAAGTGTGTCTTTTGTAATCAACATGAATGTATTCAATCTCGTAGTCTTAGTCTTTTACTTAGAATACTTGGCCTATTTACATAATGCTATTACTGATTGCTTTATAGCTACCATCTTATTATTTGTATGTTTAACTCATCTATTTTATATTTCTTCTTTCTACTTCCTTGTTTTATTTTGGATTAATTCAATTTTTATGTAATATTTTTTTACTATTATTTTGGTGATAATACTAGAATAAAAATTTGTAAACTTTACTTACTACAGTCTAATTAAATGTATGTACTTTAAATAATTTTGTAATTATTTTACTTTAGATCATTAGGATTTTTATTAGTATAATATACCATCCAATAAAACTTTCACCATTTACATAGCAGTGCAATAGATAATTCTATAACAAAGTTAATTAGTCTGAACAAACTATTAAAAATAAACTATTATAATATAAAATAGATTTATTTTTAATAAATAATTCATTCAGAATAATTTATTTTTTGAGAAATTTTATATCTTCATAAAATGTTATTTCTTTTTTAAAAAACATTATTAGCATAACATTAGTTAATAATGTTATATAAATTTCAGGTGTATAACTTTATAATACATGTGTGCTTACCACCCAAAGTCTAGTCTAGTCTTCTTGTGTTACCTTGTATTTGATACCCTTTAAAGGGTCTTTAAAAGAGTGTTCAGGATTCCATATACTTGTTTTTTTTTTAAGTGACATAGTTTTCTTGTGTGAAGATATTTTTAAAACTTATTAAAAATTAATGATAAAATAAATCATCATAAAATACTTATTTTAGAAACAATTTTTCTAGAATGAAGCTAATATGTAAGATGACATCATTCCATAAATCTAATGACATTTGTCTCCTTAAAGGATCTTTTACATACATCTTCCAAGTCCTCAAGTGATATTTGTTTCCATTACAAATAATACATCTCGGTTTATGTAATTTTCAGACATCTCAAGAGAAACTATAAGCTGATCACCTCTCTTTCACTTCATCTAAGTTTAGAGGAATAATCTGTTTTTTTAGAATGGAAGTGTGTATGTATCTGCAGGGAAGCCAGAGCCCATAGGAGTAGGATTCCCAAACTGACTCTTCATGTTTTCAGCCACAAGGGAATGGCTTTTATAGACGGCATCTTAATAAAGTTGTCCAGGGGCTAAAGCCACAAGTAGAAGGCCAGTGAGAAATTGAGGAGTTATACATTTGCCTGAAAGCAGCTGAATGGTGAAACTGCTGTTTGGAGCAGACTTTCACTGTAAGTATTTTTGAAAACAGTCCTTTGGAAAGCCAAGCACCTTTGAGCTTGGTCCTTGACTTAATTCTTTGCTTATTTTCGAGAATGTTATTGCACCCTTAGATGTTAGTTTGTGAAGACCCTGAAGATCAGTGATGTCAGAAGAGCATGAGCCTGTTGAAGTGTGGGTCAGCTGAGCTCACAGAAAGTCAGCTCAGGTCTGTCTCTGTCAGGAAGGCTGACTGGAGAGTATTCCTTCTATAATTAGTACCTTGACTTTAATGAACTCTAAGGAGAGGTGGCTAAAAACTATGGATCAGGTAGAGAGATAAAATCATGAAAAAGGAATCTACCAAGTTCCCAGAGAGTTCATGGGTAGAAGAAAACTTTCAAACTGGGAGACCAGAGATTGACCATAATTTTTCTTAAATAACTACAGATCATGGGAGAAGCAATTTGATGTCTGAAACTGAGCAGAACTGTGGCTAGGGCTGTCTGAACGAAGGCAGCAGTCTTGGCTTGAGTTAGTCAAATCACTGGTTAGGTCTGTTATTACAGTTGGATGTAACTGTCATTCTCAAAGTATTGGTCTTGGAAAAGCAACATCAGCATTACCTGGGAATTTGTTAGAAATGTTTCAAATTCTTGGGCTTCCCTCTAGACCTACATATTTGGTAACAGAGCTGGGTTCAGCGATCTGTGTTTCCATAAGAATTCCAAGTGATTTGTTGCATTCTTACATTTGAGAACCACTGGTCTGGATAAAAGAAAATCCTGATAAGGAGCCCATGTTATATATTCTAGAAAAATAAATAAACAACTGTACACCTTGACTGGGGGGTTATTTTTGTGCCCAGAGGTGCCCCAACATCATGCTCAAAAATCCATCCATAAGAGATGATTGTTGCTCTGCTTCAGAGGAGAGCACAGCAGAACCTGGCACCTTCTTCACCAGCAGGATCCTAGATGGTTAAGAAGATATTCAAAGAGAACTGAAGCTTCAGTCTGTGTAGCATTATATCCCGGGGCATGTTTAAGTATTCCTACAATTATTTTCTTAGAACCCTCATTTCCTTTTTTCCCCTCCTATTCCAGGGAAATGCAGAGTGGGTTCCTTTTTTTTATGTAGTTATTTACCAAGTACATATGCAAATGCAAATAAGACAGTACACAGGTATCTTTCTTATTTATTGTTCTAATCACTTGCTTTTTTTCCTTAAGAGTAAATTCTTTTTTATCCGATGCTGCTTTGTTCAACTTTTTACTGAGCATTAAGCAAGAATGCTGGAGATTTATAGTAGAGCAAGATATGGAAAAGCTAAATTAATTTAGTCAAGGGCATCATAATACTTTTAACAATCTATCGGTCTTATATATCTGAACTGTACTTATAGAGTGCCTATTATGTCACCAGGTGCATTGTTTCTTCTCTGTGCTATAATAAAAAGATAAGATCCCAATGTTGGCAGATGAAACACAGACATTTTGGAAAATAAATAGGAAACATCAATGAGTATAGGAAAGTTTTATTAATACTTTAATAGTTACATGATTGGGATATTTAAGGATCATAGAGAAACAGTGGAAAGAAGAAGTATCTAACTATGCATGTAAAAAGAGTAACAAGAAAAATTTTCTAAGAGGTGTAACTCTTGGCAGATAAAATGGGACAGGCAGAAGTTAGTTATCTAAGGGCAAGAGAGTTAATTCTTTAAGAAAGATATGACAAATGGGAAAACAGATGAGGCAAAGCAAAGTATGTTCTATAGGTAGCTGGGTCTTTGTGTATGGAGTTAGAAGATATTCATGTGAAGGGAGTTATCATTTATTTATGAAGTTATGAATGCTAAGGAAATTGTTTTAACAAGGAGTGATATGATCTAATTTAAATTAGACACGTTCTATGCCAAGAGAATTGTGGAGAAACTTCAGAGCCTAGAATGAGGGCAGATAAATTGGGTAGGAACTTATTCATAAAACAATCAAGCCATAAATTCATGTCTCTTTTCTTTCAGCTAGTTCCAGGATCACCAACCAGTCATGGTATTATATCTCAACAACTCTCTCAACAACATAAGTACCCAGGTGACTGAATTCCTGATGATCTGCTTTCCAGGAATGCAGGACACACAGCATTGGCTATCTGTAGTCCTGGCACCCCTCTTGATTTTGGCCCTTGGGGCCAACTTTGTGTTATTACTTGCCATCTGGCAGGAGGCATCTTTGCATGAGCCCATGTACTACCTTCTTGTTGTCCTATCCATTCTGGATGTCATCCTCTGCCTCACAGTAATCCCCAAGGTCAGTCCCTCTTTAAATAAACTCTCAGGCACTCAGTCATCTTTCTCTAACCAGTACTTTTTTTCTGCTGTAAATCCTCCCACCCTTGAAGGAAAATCCTCAGTGAGTAGCCTGCACCATCACATTAGGTCTATCACAGCTCCCAGACTGTGATATCACAGTCCTCTCTCATTTTTAATGCCCATGTTTTTTTAAGGATTCATTCTTTCCCAACTGTCAGGCCTTCTCTCAGTGTCTAAGCAAGTGATATTTCAAGTTTTGCCCTTCTTTTTACTTCTAGGGAGATTCTCTTTGACTATGAATTACTCCATTCTTAGATCTAAAAGCTCTAGAATTTACTTTCTAAAATGTGACTAGATGTATGGTTATGTCATATATTGATATAGGAAGTATAATTGGAAGAGGTTTCTTATGAGTTTGGAAAGGTTGGAGGGTTTTTACATATAAATATTGGACTTAACTGGGCTCGATGTCTTTGCGATATATTTAGGTGGGCAGATGTGTCCAGCCAGAGTTGGAGTAAGAACTCTGGAGATCAAGAGAAGACAGACTAGAAGTAAACATTTTTAAACAAAAAATGTGGCCTATAGATGAAGAGAAATTGATACAAATGAGGCTCTGAAAATTGAGATGCACATAGAAGGTGTTTGAAATTAAGAAACTGTCCTAGCTGGGATTTGGAGGCTGTGGTTTGGGGATATGGGTGGTTGAAGCCATATGAGGGTTTCCCAGGGTTAGGTACCCTAGGGTGGGAATGGATACAGTTTTTGAGAGTAATGATTTTGGCAGGTCCTGCTTATTTTCTGGTTCAACATGAAGCCCATCAGCTTTTCAGGCTGCTTCCTACAGATGTTCATCATGAATACATTCCTTCCCATGGAGTCTTCCACCTTTCTGGTCATGGCCTATGACCGCTATGTGGCCATCTGCCACCCACTGCGCTACCCGTCCATCATCAATGAACAGTTTGTCATTTATTCAGTCATCTTCATTGTCTTCCGAAATTTTCTGGCCACACTGCCCACACCAGTTCTGGCTGCCAGGCTCAACTACTGTGCCAGCAATGTGGTAGAGAACTGTATCTGTGCCAACATTTCTGTGGCAAAGCTCTCTTGTGGGGATATTCGTCTAAATAAGCTTTATCAGTTTGTGAGTGTTTGGTGCCTACTAGGTTCTGATTTGATACTCATTTTGCTATCTTACTGTTTCATCTTGAGAGCTGTTCTGCATCTGCAGGCAGGGAGTGCAGCCACCAAGGCCTTGAGTACTTGTGGTTCCCATCTCATTCTCATACTTTTCTTCTATACATTGCTACTAGTCTTCATTTTCACAAACAAAGCAGAAAAAAAGGTGCCCTTAGAGGTGCCCATTCTTCTCAATGTGTTGCATCATCTCATCCCACCAGCCCTAAATCCCATAGTTTATGGAGTACGAACCCAAGAAATCAAGCAAGGAATTATTAAGCTATTCAAGGACCACTATTGAGCGGTGTGAGTCAAAGATCAGTGATTATGGAAGCCTGGGCATGTTTTAGTGATGGTTTCATTTGAATACCACAAGAGACACAATATGACATCCATGCTGCTACTCTCATCTTGAACTTAAACCTTCCTCAACCACTATCATGATAGTTACCATGACTACCCCCTCCTCAAATCCTAACTGAACCCATGTTTAGGTATTCATTATCTCCTTCATTCTGACCCCTTGCCATCATGATCCTTCAATTACTCATTCATTAAATAAGTATTTAATACTTCCATATACTTCTTAGGTTTTACATTTGAAGTGCCTCTTACATTTAATTCATAGCGCAGGGATAAGACATCACTTTAAATAGAAAATGCATAGGTAGGATTGAGAAAAACAATGAAGACTTTATTTCAATAATCTAGATGAAAAGTGATAATGGCTTATAATAAGGAGGTGAGTGAAAATTGAAGTTATGGGGCACAAGATTTGCTGGGAGTCCATGCATAGGACATAAAAGGTGGAGAGGAGTAAAGGACATTCCAAAGCTTTTTTCCCAGGGGCAATTAGAAAAGTGTAATTGCTAATAACTGAGAATCTAGTTTTATATGTGATATCAGAAGTTTGGCTTTAGACACTGAACTCAATTTCTATCCCAAACTCCCCCAAATGGCTGTATTATTGCAATAACTATTAAATATCCAAACAAAGAAGGAAAAGCAAGTGACTGGACATATGGCACTGTTTAGGGGTCAGGGCCAAGCTAGAGACAGAAGTTTGAATCATAAAGGTATAGATAGTATTTAAATCCCAGTTAGACATGTGGTGCGAAGTTGATGAATTATCCTCTCGTTTCTATTCCTTTGTTCAAGAAACTTGTTCAAATGTTAGTTACTTCAGATCCCTAATTGTTCCTCACTCCCCGTAGACTGTGATCTCATTAAGGTCAGAAACTGCATTGAATTTTTCTTTATCTTCAACCTCTACCATTGTGCCTGGCACAATGGTGAGTGCTTTTAAATTAATTAATAAATGACTTTTGACTTTCTCAAAACTTTTAGCTCTACTATGTGACATCTGGATTATGGAGTCTGGATCCAAATACAGTACTGTTTGTTGATGAAATTCCATGTGTTGGTTTAACATTAAACACATTAAACATTAAAAAAAGGTATGCATTCTTTATAAAAATAAAAGCATTCATTAACATAAGTTAACAGGGTAATGGACTTCTTACATTCAAAATAAAGGATACAACTTTAAAATAACATTTAAAAAGACGCAAAAACATAGGTGATAAGTTCCTTGACATTGGTTTTGGCAATACATTTTTGGATTTGAAACAAAAGCAATAATAAACAAGCAGAACTACATCAAACTAAAAAGCTTCTGAACAGCAAAGGAAACCATCAACAAAATGTAAAGGCAGCCCATAGAATTGGAAGGGTTTAATATAAAAATATAAAATGTACTCATATAACTCAATAGCAAAACTCAAATAATCTGATTATAAAATGGGCATCTAATAGATCTTTTTCTGAAGAAGACATACAGATGGCCAACGAGTACAAGAAAAGGTGCCCAACATAGCTAATCTTTAAAGAAATGCAAATCAAAACCACAATTAGATATCACCTCACACGTGTTACAATGGCTATTAATCAAAAAGATAAGAAATAAAGTGTTGGTAAGGATGCGGAGAAAAGGGAACTCTTATGCGCTGTTGGTGGGAATGTGAATTGGAACAACCACTCTAGAAAACAATATGGAGGTTCTTCAAAAAGCTAAAAGTTAAATAGTTTTGTTTTCTTCAGATGAATATCCAGCAATTACACTTCTGGGAATTTATCTAAAGAAAACAAAGCACTAGCTCAAAAAGATATCTTCACTTCCATGTACATTACAGCATTATTGCAATAGCCAAAATATGGAAACAATCTAAGTATCCATCGATGGTTAATGGATGAAGAAATTGTGGTATCTATACAATGGAATAACATTCAGCTAAATAAAAAAAAATGAAATCTTGCCATTATGGATGGACTTTGTGGGTATTATGTTAAGTGAAGTAAGTCAGACAGAGAAAGACAAATACTACATGATCTTACATGTAGAATCTAAAACGAAACAAAACAAAACAAAAACGCAACTTACAGATACAAATAACAGATTAGATTGATGGTTGCCAGAGGCAGAACTTGGGGGTGGGCAAAATAGGTATAGAGTGTCAAAAGATACAAACTTCCAATTATAAACTAAATAAGTTCTGGAGATGAAATGTACAGCATAGGAACTATAGTTATTAATACCATATTGCATATTTTATAGTTGTGAGGAGAGTAGATCTTGAAAGTTCTAATCACAAGAAAAAAATCTATAGAGTATATGGGGAAGGTAATTGTTTTAGGTCTCTTTTATTTACAGCTACCCCAGCCAGATTCAATGATCTTCTGCCTTTTGGCTCAGATCTGCCTCCAGCGGCATCCAGCTTAGGGATAATGAGGATGAAATTATGCAATCAATCAATATTTGAAGAGAATGCTTTAGTGTTGAGCATGATTCCAATTAACTTGCCCAAGATGTAATGTCTCTGCATTGTATCATTCCCTCTCTAGTAACATTACAAGGGTAGGATATGGCCTTTAAACCCCAACTTCTTCTTTTGTATGTCTCTGGTTTTTAAGATTGGGTTCTTGCTTTAGTTCTAATCCATTCCCATTCTATTATTTTACATTAACCTTCAGTCTTCTGCCGGTTCTAGGATGATAGTCACCTTCTCATAGCCAATTCTTTGTTTGGAACCAGAGGTTATGCTACCTACAGTCAGATCTCCCCAGTGACCACTGCTCTGGACTTCTGCCTTAACCTCCCATGGCTGTATCCCACTCACCGCTGGAATGGCCACTACTTCTTGGCCTTCTGCTTGTTCTCAGCTTAGGCCTCTGTATTTATTGTTCCATCTGATTGCAAGAGTTTTATCCTATATGTTCAAATGGTTAACTTCTCAACATGCATAAGTCAAAAGTCACCTCTACAGAGAGTACCTCCTTAATAATTACAACCAAAATGGCTTTCTTCTCCTACTTCAGATCATTCTAACACATTATACCATTCTTTTTTTTCTTATTTATTAATTTACATATTTAATGATTGATCTTGTACCTTGAAATGTACCTTGATCTTGTCTTTTTTACTTATGTCCCTATCCTTAAATTCTAGATTTTGATGTATCCCGCACATATCAGGTGTTGAATACATATTATATTTTTAAAAAATTGGTCACAAATTTCAGTATGTAAGGCCACTGCCATGCTCTGAAGGCATTCTGAAATATATTTTCAGATCAATCTTCAGTGTCAGCTGAAATGTCCCCTAAGATATCAGTCTGATGCATCTACCTAGTAATATTAAGATTACCAACAAATCCTTCATGTTAACATTATCTGGATAATTGTCTCATGGTTCAGAGGGCCGGATTTACTATTTGTGTTTCCTTTTGAATGTTAGTCTGTAAAGCATTCTGTATCTCTTATGCCTTAAACTTTTTTAAAAAAAATTAAAATCAGCTCATTTCAAATGCTGATATATGAAATTGTGAAAATATGTTTAAGGTAAGATTTAAACTTAAGATAAAAATATGTTATAATTGTTTCTTTCTGATAAACTCAACATGAACAACCATTGCTTACCCTATTGTTAATATTTCTTATTATTCACTAATAAAAACTAATTAAGGATAACATTTTCCTAGATTTATTTATGGCTCATCTTCAGCCTCAGTCCTGTCATTGCAGGACTCTGGGTCTTTTTGACATGCATGAAATTAATCAATAAGACTTCTACCACTTTAATCTTTTCACTTTGTTTTCAAATATTATATGCTCTGCTTTCTTATTATTTTAGTGCAGAGAATCCACCCTAACTCCCTTGGCTTCCTTTTAAGAGAAATTTTATTTATTATTATGGTTGATTTTTTAGAGTAAAGTTTTTATCCAATTAACTTGCTTTTTAAATTCATTTTCCTGAGTTTGACATCAGTAGCTGAAGAAAATCTTAATTCATATCACCTATCTCGAGTGGGAGACAGTCATTGTTGTTCTCTATTGTGTTTTTCACATAGAAATTGGACATACATTTTTAAAGCAAGCCAGAATTTCTCTTCCCACATTAAAAAAATTATAGTAGACAAAAAATGCAGAGTTTTAAATAACATTAAAAATTTCAAGACTCTCTTTGAATAGAAATAGCTTGTGATAAATTCCTTAGTTCTGGGAAGCCATTTCATCTGTTTCATTCTGCCATTTTGTTGAAAAATCTGTGTTTGCTTTGAGGTAAGTTGATGTGAGTCACTAGCAGATCTCATAATTTTTAGAGTATTGATGGAAAGCTGTTGGAAAATATCATTTAGAGGTTGCAAGCATTATCAATTTTATAATAGCAGTTGATTAAATTTGCTTTAGAAGTAGATCCTATTTTATTTTAAGAATCTTTCTCATTGCTATTTAGTTATAAATATGTTGAATTAAGACCTTCTAAAATAGTAACATTTACAAGAGTGATATTTTAGTTGGCCATACTGGTCTATATTTTAGAGAGCATATTACGTAAATAAAATTTTTACCTAGTATTATTGTTTATTATTAGAATAATATAAATGTATTTTCATTTTTAAGCAGATGATAATAGGAGTTCAACAGTTGTGAATCCAAAGACCATCAGAAGAAGCTTAAGATTGATTTCTTTTTCATTACTGGATGGAGAATTAAAGAAATTTACAAAGCATGGAAGACTATATCTTAAATAGATCAGTGATTCACCTAATATTTTATTTCAAGCTAAATGGCCTAGACTTTGGGATCTGTTAGTGGACTTTGAGACATTTTCACTTTGGTGTCAGAAGGCAAAGACCCATAATTTTGTATTGAGTAGGACCTTCCTCGAGTGGAATTGATAGTTCCCCTATCAGTAATCCTGGGAACATGTCAATGAAGACTCAAATAGTATGACTCAGCTTTCTCAGGGAGAGATGGTTTCTCTATTGAGGCCTCCGGGCTATTGGACCAATAGGTAAAACATATATGGTCCTTCTCAACAGGAAGGACCATAGTTTGTTATAGGCAGGTGAATGCAGGCTAGGACCTGTAAATGATGTGAATGTATAAATAATTTTTCAATAAAGCTTGGATTTTGACCTGTGAACAAAATAAAAAATTGTAGTATTTGAAAGTGATCCTGGTACAATATTCAAATTTCCCATTTACTTTCAGCTGTCATGAGGGAATGTGAGAAGTGTCTATGTCTATGCTTAAAGGGAAGAAATACGGAAAAAAAAGACTCAACATGAGTGATACCTATCTTAAGGTAGGACATAGTTTCATAGACTCTTAGAACTAGGTATATGTTTTAAAATAATTAGTTCACTGTCTTCATGTGACAGATGAGGACTCTAGAACTCAGTGAGGCTGCTAATTTGTTCCATGTCACACATCCTATTTGTGGTTGTGCAAGACCTAGAGTGCAAAACTTCTAACTCATCATCTCAGGCTTTTTCTTATTTTCAAGTCATTTTCAGTACTTATTTCTACTTCTTTCTTTGTAGAAGAAAACATTTCTTCAACATTATAGGGTCTAGATTGTTTTATAGTCTATATAGTCTATAAAGTCTATATAGTCTATATAGTCTATATAGTCTAGATTGTTTTATAGTCTATATAGTCTATAAAACAGACTATAAAACAATGATTGAAAATTTGTTCTGTGCATCTTCATACCCTTGAGCTCATACAAAGTTCCTGTACCAGAGCAGTTGCTTGGAAAGTCTTTCTGGAATTAATAACATGCCCTAGTATATTTCAATGTCATTACTGGAACATTTTCTGATGATGTTACATATTAGTACACCGAAGCAGAGCCCTATATACATATTGCAGACTGAGTCATCATGAATCCTGAAGGTGAAACTTCAAGTACAGACAATAGAATGAAGACATTGAAGAAGAGGTTTTATATAATAATTCCTTCTCCTAAATCCAGTAAATCTCATTTCTTCACATGTGAGAAATTCATACAAGAGCTCTACCCTTTTGAGAGTTGCACATAATGAGACAAATGCTTTGCTTGATCAAGATTAGAAGAAAAAAGTTATTGTCCTGGTTGGAGGTAACTGAAAGAGATTTGCTTATGGATACTAGTTACTTGTCATCATTCAGGGTGACATTGAAAATACTGTTGTCTTTCCACAACTGCATTATGTAACTAAGCTAATAATAATAATAATAATAAGCAAGCAAGGAAACATATGCAGTTATTTTTAATTATATATACAGAAATAGTAACTATGTATTAATTAGAACTTACTTCTCTACTATAGAATTGATCCTCTTTGGTGGCTACATTTTAGACAAAATAGAATCATAAGCATTAAAAATCACAGAAGTGACAGACATTTGGGAAAAGCATTGAATTTTTAAAAGAGAGCTATAATCAGAAACTGTATCAGAAAATAAACTTACTTTTCTCCTTGAACTTACATTATTGAGCTATGAGCTTCAACTCAATTTTTCATTAACTGATTTTTAAGCCATTTTATTTTAGGAATTCAGAGGTCCGGTTGTCCTTATTTCCATTCTTTCTTCAGCAACCTCTGGATTCCTTGCTTGATCTCCTGGGTTCGCACTCCATAAACGATGGGATTAAGAGCTGCAGGGATGATGTGGTGGAGGACATTGAGCAAGACTGGCACATCAGGGGAGACCTTTTTCTTAGCCACGTGAGTGAGGACGAAGACCAGAAGGATGGTACTAAAGAAGAGAATAAGGATGAAGTGGGAGCCACATGTGCTTAGGGCCTTGGTCATGGCACCCACCGCCTTGAGTCTCAGCACAGCTCTAAGTATGAAGGTGTAAGAGAAGAAGATGAGGATGAGGTCAGATCCCAGCAGAGTCCAGCCTGCAGCAAACTGGTAGATACGATTGATGGTGACGTCATCACAGGAGAGCCTGGAGACTGACATATTGGCGCAGATACAGTTCTCAATGACAGTTCTGTCACAATAACGAAGTCGTGCTGAGAGAATGGGGATGGGCATTGTAATAAAGACATTTCTGGCAAAAATAAAAATGGCAGCCTTGGCTACAAATTGGTCAGTGATGATGGACGGGTATCTCAGTGGATGGCAGATGGCCACATAGCGGTCATAGGCCATGACCATGAATGTGCAAGACTCCATAGCCAAGAGGCAATTCATGATGTACATCTGAAAGAAGCAGCCATGAAAGCTGATGGGCCTGAGGTCAAACCAGAAGATGGCCAGGACCTTGGGAATGACGGTCAGACAGAGCACCATGTCTAACAGAGACAGAAAGCTGAGCAGGTAGTACATGGGCTGGTGCAGGGAGGCTTCCAGTCGGATGGTGATCAAGAGAATACTGTTAGCCCCCATGGCCAGAAGGAAGAGGAGGCTGAGGGGCAGAGACAGCCAGAGCTGCCAGCTGGGCGACCTGACAAAACAATTCAGAAAGAAGTCCGAAACCCCAGTGGAGCCATTTCTGGGAGCTGTCATAGTGTCATCGGATTTTTTTTCACTGGTTTTCTTCTATGATCTAAAAAGTTAGGATCAAAATTAGCCTTTGTACCGACAGTGAGAAAAAAATTGGCTAAATTGGATGCAACTTATGTTTTCTAGCAGGTTATTTGGCTTTAAATGGAAAGTTTGTGTGCAACATACAGAAAATAATTACATTTTAACAGTTTACAAATTTTGCTTCTCCTCATTTCTGGAATATTTCTAAGGTTTCATTGAAAAACATATATTAAAATGAGTTATGAATAATTAGCTATGAGGCAGTGTCCTTGCAATTGAGGATTGTGATAAAATGGCCCTATGATTTCAGCAGTGTAAAGGTGGTAAAACTGGTCTTCAGTGATTCCTCTCTGAATCTCTTTGCTAAGTTGCCCAGACAAGGTCCCCAGCATTCACACCAGATATTCTTCAGTATTGTCACTGCTTTCTTCTTATTTGTCTTTAACTTACTCCTATATACAAGAAACACAAAGATGAAATATTAGTCTTGTTCTCAAGTGGTGGCAATCCCCTAGGGATTGCCATTTATAAGACAAGCATAAGACAAAATGATAAGAATAAAGACAGCAGCGTGCAGAGTATACTGAGAGTGTAGGCGAGAATTAACATCGCTCACATGCAAGCATAGTGTTCACAAAACTCCTCTCCCACTGAATGTTAAGGCAAATATAAAGAGACTGTGAAAAATGAGTTACCTGTCACTGTGAGAGATGCTTGTAAAATATTTGTGATCAGCATGTCTTGAATCTTTAAAATCATGCTCAGTATGGTCCCAAGATCTGTCTACTTTGTAGGTGTCCTGCTCAGGTGACATCCTACACATGTAAATTACTTTGTTTCATCGGTGTTTATACTATACTGTTTTGCATCTATTTATGTAGCTGGTAAAATGTAAACATGTTTGCAATGTGTTGAACAGACTTAGAGTACTTACCAGGCACTACGCTAAAATATACTAGGAGCATTATCTAACTCAATTATTAAAAATATAACCTTTGGAGGTGTGTCTTGTATGACTTTACAAATGAGAGAAATGGGATGAAGAAAGGTTGAGAAAATTCCAAGAGCACGCAAACAGTATAACTTTCAATCTAGACGCAAAATTCTATTTGATTTTAAACCCACTCCCTAGTCCCTTGTGCTGTACTCCATCTAATCAGCCAAAGGACACTGGTTCCACAGTCTATCAGGTTGCCTCTGAGCCGTAAAATGCTATGATATTACATTCGGTTCCTCAGTCCCTGAAAAGAAATAAATCTATCCCCCTAGGAAGTTGAATATGGTAGTGGAGAGGCATTTTTGGAATGGGGGTTTAGTAGACAGAAGAGGATTTTGAATGGAAATATGAACCCAGGATTAAATATTTTTCGGTTATCAGAATCTAATTTGACATAACTGAAAATTACACATTCGTTTCCATCTATGTACGTCCTCGATCCCATGCTTCCGGTCCTGTTCACTCTGTTTTTTTCTTAGACTTCCACCTTCTTACACGATGGCCCTGGGAATGGCTGGGTCAGTGAAAGACAGTGAATTTTATACTCCTCCTTCCCCAACTCCCCTATTCATTCCTTTTTGATGCTCTACTTCAAAATCAAAGAAGTACCGTCTGATCAGTGTCTGCCAAGAACTGTCCCTCTCTCTGGAGGCAAAAGTTATTTCAAGATACATCAGGAGTTTACATTATCTCCAGCCATTTCTTTTTCTGTTATTAAAAATAGCATATATTAACATGGTCATGGGGTTGGGGAGCACAGCATAAGGAATGCAGTCACCAGTAATGTAAAGTCTAGGTGTAGAGGCAGAGGAGAGAAAGAGCAAGATCCCTCTGAGGAATCCTTTCATCTGCTATACATATGTACTGTATACTTTAAACTAATAATAAAATAAAATGTTAAAAAAAACATAGCATACATTAATAACACTTCCATAAATTTCAGAGGTTTTAAAGTTGTCTCATCAGTGCCAGTGAGATACAAGACACAAAGCAGAGTTGCCATTACACCAGTTAATTTTGTCACAGCACATGCACATTTTGGTGTCAAATTCTGACACTACATCTTTTCCTCAGGACTTGCCATTTTTTACTTCATTTGCATGTTCCCTCTGCTCAGACCTCATCTAGTAACATTATTGCACATCTATTACCACAGCCCCGAATCTCACCGTAGTTGAGATGGGTCAAGGATTCCTCTGTGATTTCAGGGGGAAGAAGACACTTGGAAGCATCTCTGCAGCAGGAAAGGTGGATCCACGAGGAAATCTAGAAAAAGCAGAATACTTTCTAATTTTTCTAGGTGGTCTTGGAAAGATTATTTCCAGCATTAGGATAGAATTTCTGGCATGTCAAAGGAAGAATTTCCAATCTTAGTTTCCACTTTTTCCTCTTGCTTCTTCCTCTGTCTCTTCAACCAATAATCTATTTAACGAGAAATGAGTATCTACTCAGTTCTGGGGACAAAGTACTTGGGTTTACACACAGCGTTTCTCTCCCTTTTTCATTCTTCTTCTGCAATAAGAGATAGCCTATGACAAGAGTAGGACTGAGGCCCCAAAGCTGACTATTACTTGCCCCATCAGGCACAGGCTGAGGAAGCCAGTCAGAGCTGGAGATTGATGCCGGTAACTAACTCAAGCCCAGTTTCTAGGCTTTAAGACCCAAGTCGATCATAGTACATTGGAAGCACAGACTTCTAAATTTGGAGGAAATACAATGTATCACCTAGCCCCCATGGCATTTGGATAAGCTTCTGAAATAAGCTTCTACCCTTCAAACTTAAGGACTGGATCCAGAGACAAAAAGGAAATTACTATTTTATTTCTCCTGGCAGATCTTTCTAATGTTAGCATTTCAGCTTTCAGACATTCTTTATTTGCACTGAGATATGTTATTCTCCCTCTCCTCGCCCTCATGCATGTCTTTTGTTTTCTGATCTCTGTCACTACGTAGGGTGAGTTTATTTCTCCCCCTGACGGATGAAGTATTCACACACAGATTTGCTCTTGTAGGGTTTCTAGATTCCCAGACTTCAGACTATGAGTCCTGGTTTGTTCTACTGGGTGAGACTTTTCAGCTCTCCCAAGACATTAGTTAAGTTTCCATAGACAAGTTCCAGCTTAGGTACATCCCCGGCACATCAAGCCCCAAGATGTGGCCAAGGCAGTTAAGAAGGGTCTTCTTGTTATACAGGGTACAGTGTCTCCTACTTCTCTTGAGACCACTCAAGCACCCTTGACTCGGGAAAGGACAGGCATGCACATTTGAATCGAAGAGATAAGACCCCTCTGCCTCTGGCAAATCTTGGTGTTCATGCCCCTCAGCCCCTCTCCAGGTTCTCCTTGTCAGATTCACTTTCAGAGGAAGTAGCATGGGTCCTGGCTCCACTGCTGTTGGAGTTCTGACCAATACAGCTGAGACTGTTATAACGTCACTGGCCTCAGGGACCCCGTCATCCTTATTCCCTCGAGAGGGAAGTGGAAATCAAGACTAGCAAGCTCATAAGGCCCTTCTAGGACAGATAGGCATAGAGTTAGGATAGAACATGATTGTGTCTCAGCAGAGAAAGAGCCTTTTGAAACCAAGGCATATGCACTGCTACACTGTGTTTAAGACCAGCTGGCAGTGGGTCATTTCTCTGAACATCAAGGACTTGCCTATACACCTGCGTAGTCACATATTTATGTACAATCCTCCCCAAAGGTGCAATAAGTTCATTCACAAGTTCCTGTGGGCTTCAAGCACATTCTTAGTGGAGAATAGGTATTGTCCATCTAAGTTATTGCATGAATAGATGATCACTTATCATGACTATAACTATGACATTATAATGATATATAGTGTAATGAAACAAACAAAAAGCCTTAGTTATTGAGAAATGAAATGAGTTTTCCAGAATGGATACTCATGGAGATGTACTTTTGCTACCATGAAAGAAAACAAAGTTTGATTTGATTTTAATTTGATACTTGTTTTGAGAAATGAAGTTTTCCTTTATTTAGTTATCTATTTTCCTTTGGTCCCCCGGCACGCAGAATTAAGATACCCACATTATTTACATGATGACACACTCATATCATGACCTTGATGTAGCTTTACATTAAAGTTTATTTTTCTTAATATTAGTAATGAAATATTTATTTTGTTTTCAGCAAACTCAATCCCAAACTCTGCACCCTCAAAATAGCCTGGTTCTGATGAAGGGCCTTCTGTTTTTCAGCACCAATTTCTTCTTCTGTACGTCTTGAGTTCACAGGACTGTGTTCCTGCTTTGACCCAAACTTAAGTTCTTATTACAATATTCTGTGCAGACCTTCAAATCCTCTCCTAGTTTTGGATTCTGACTTCCTGCCAAGTGGCCACTGCCTCGGTTCTCTTCTTTAGGTTCTTCTTGGCTATGTCCTTCGTAGCTATTGAATTTTCCCACTGCTTCTTGAACTTCTGCTTCTTCCAGGTTCAGAGCCTTTGCAGTGTTCTATCCACTTGGAACATATCTTCCCTATATCTCATATATTGACTTATTTTCTCTTTTAGGACCTTGTTTCAAACAGACCAAACTGGAAAGATTTATCTCAAGTACCACATTTACATCATGTCCCTTTCCCCACCTCAAATCATCCCTTAACTCAAAATCTTATACAATTTTATTCTCAGCCCTTCTATTCTGAAATTACCTCGATGCTTTGATTTTTTGTGTGCTGTCTGGAACCCCCTCTCGAATGTAAGCATGAGCGTTGCCTATTTCCTCATTACTGCCTCCCTAGCACCATAATAAGGACTTGTCTACATTAGGGGTAAATGCATATTTGACAGATAATGAGATGTTAAATGTTGACTTGACAGGCTCTGCATCGTAGCCTGGCCCCAATATTCAGTGTCCACTGGGTCTGCTCTTAAATATCTGTTTCACTCTTTCTGACCATGAGAGGAAGGGCCTAATTATGGGTAATGTGTGAGTAAACTACAAAGTCTCACCAACAAA